ACACAATTTTGAGTGAGTTCCAGAGTTAGATCTATTAACAGTGGAAATACTATTTTAAATGTAGTTCTGATTTGTTGATTTTCTATTTTAAAGGACAAAGGGTTCTCTTGAATCAGAAAAATAAATAACTAGAATCACATTACTTTTTCCTCTACTAGCTTCCAGAGTTTTACTATCACGCGGTTTGATTACAGTGTATATTGTATATTTTTTGAAATATGGAAAATGTATAATTATGATCGTTTTAGACTACAGACACGATAACCTACTTTTTGGTCTCATCATTCTACTGATTATGTGACATTTAGTTTTTTTACCTTTTGTGAACCAAGTTCTATACCTTATTTTACCTATGATTTCTCAAGACAAACTTCTTTAGCTCCTTGCACAAAACGTTACATAAATTTAGGATATTATCTTTTGAATTTCCAGAGGCTGAACACTCCTCTGTCTGATGTTTTACAATGAGAGAAAGATTGAATTCTAATTTAGCAGCCGTTGGTATGGTTTGTTAAGCACCATGTTCCATTTCTTAATCTTCACTTGAGCTCTGTGAGGTAGGTAGTGTTATTTCCTCTTACAGGAAGAAACCAGAGCTCCTTGGGTAAGTTGAAGAACCAAGATTCAAATTGGAAATTTTTTCTTCTTTATAGGACTCTTTCTGCTTATACCACAATCCTTACTGTAATATGTCTCTTGATCTGAAAGTTATGTTTTTCTAAATTATTCATTCTTTATCATTTAAGAGATGTTTAAATTTTGTGCTGTCTACCAACACTCAGTATTACTCTGCCAGGACATACTCCATAACCATTTTTGTCTCATTCACATTCTTATGTTAAATTCCATTTTAGCACTATTTCAGATTATAAAAATACATATCATTAGGTGTGGATTATATAAGAAATTATTTATTTGCACTTTTGACACATTTTAAGGCAGTAGTTTTTACAATACATGAATATATTAAAGATTATAAAATCCTAAATGTAACATTAAACTCTTTTCATATTTCAGAGCACTCTTTACTAACTTGTACACATATAAAATAGAGAAAATGATGTTTAATGTACACATGATGGTGAACTGATCACCCTCTTACTGTTAGTATCAAATCATAGGCTTTGGAAATCACAACGTCTCTACCTGCATATTGTAACCCTCTCCTTTCTTATTCCCTGTTCCCATGCTGAGAGTAGTGATGACTGTCACACTTGTATTTGTACATGTATACATCTATTTGTACATGTGTAACTTTTGTGAAAAAGTATACTAAAATGTATATTCTTCGGATATTAAATGAATGTTTACTAGGCATAAATTTTTGAGAAGAGTAACATTTTTTAAATTGTCCATTTGAAAATACTCATGGAGCATTCCATTCTAAACCAAGGAATCTTACTAGCCAATATTTTATACAGTATTTGGAACTTTTAGAAACAACTGTATACATTTATAGCTGATAATGATAATTAAGTCATTATTTTTTCAGTATTTTATATAGACTTCTTTACCTTTAGTTTGCAGCTAAAGCTTTGCTATATACTATACATTTTTTATTTTCTCTTTGCAATTTGGAAGTGAATGTTTAGTATGTTTGTAAAATACTTGTAGTTAATGTGGTAAGTTATGACCATAGTGCTAATGAAAAGAATTTGAGTAGGTATCTTTTGATCTTTTGGGTTAAAAGATTCAAGAGTATGTATAGAGTTTGTTAGAGTAATTGTCGACATTGGAAACTCTGAATTTAAGAAAATATAAAGTTTGATGTTTTATTAGAAAATTTATTGCTGTAAGCACTGATGTTGGAGTGGTGGCTAAAAAGTTGTACAAACTTCAGAATAATTACAACAATAATTTTGACATAAAAACATGAAATGTATGTTGTACACTGCCATTGTTAAAGTGTTTTCTTCAAAGGTTTTTTCTTTTCTTTTTAAAAATTTTATTAGTGAGAGCTTGCAGTACATGTAGTTTCTAGTCATGTTGGGAGTGGGTTCATGTACTCAACATAGCTTGTTTCTTTTCCTTTTCCTTTCCTCCTCTTAATTCTCCCCCTCCTGATTTTCATTCTTGTTGGTATTATTAACCTTAGCTCATGTTATGGCATATAATGCTTATATTCCTTGAGGCTCTTAGATTCCTGTACATGATACATCTTTGTTCTACATATTTCCCCTTTCCTCCTTCTCCCTCACCTCTCAGCCTTGTTCCCTTAGACCCCTTCCCTATTGCAAAAAATCCATTTCCTTATTCCCTTCTGTGCATTCTTTACCATTTTCTTTGTTTGTACTTTGCCTCACTCAGGTTTACGGTACTTATATGTGTGGTTAATTTCACTCAACATTCTATTTTCCAGGTGCATCCATTTTCCTACAGATGTGTCAAATGTGTCATTCTTTTATAGCTGAGTAGTATTCCATTATATATAGATACCACATTTTCCTTATCCAGTCATCCATTGATGATTTTACAGGCTGCTTTCAGGATTTAGGTATTGTGCATTGTGCTTCTGTAAACATTGGTATGCATGTATTGCTATAATATAATGACTTAAGCTCTTTGGGGAAGCTTGCTGGAAGGTGGGTAGCTAAGTCATATAGAATTTCTAATTCCAATTCTTTGAGAAATCTCTATATGAATTTTCATAATGTTTGTAATAATTTGCATTCCCACCAGCACTATAGGATGGTTCATTTTTAATCACAGCCATGAAGCATTTGTTATTGTTTGATTTTGTGATGATTGCCATTCTTTCGGAGTAAGATGGAATCTTAGCATTCTTTTAATTTGCATTTCTCTAATAGCCAGATGTTGAACATCTTTTCATATATATTTATTGTCTATTTGTATTTTTTTCCTCTGTGTCTGTTCCTTTCTCTAGTCCACTTGTTGATGTTACTTTTTGTGCAGTTGAGGTCCTATTTAGAAAATCCTTTCGTACACCTATATCTTTATACATTTTACCTGTCCTATCTTCCAATTGTCTTAATGTTTCCCTTTCAGTGTTTAGATCTTTGATTCCATTTTTATTTAATTTGGTATATGATAAGAGATAGTTTAGGGTTAGGGTTAGGGTTAGGGTTTCAGTCTTCTGCAAACAGGTAATGGGTTTCCCAGGACTACTTGTGGAAGAGACTATCTTTCCTGCCAGTTGTGCTTTTGGGCCCTTTTGTCAAAGATCAAACAGCAAAATGTGTCTGCAGAGTTTCTGTATCTGTTCTGTTCCACTGATCCACATATCTGTTTTCTAGTACCATGCCTTCTTTATCACTACTGTATTGCTTTATAATATGGCTTGATGTCAGATATTGCAAGACTTCCTGCTTTTATCTGGGTTTCTCTTGGTTCCATATGAATTTCAGGATTGTTTTCTCTAATTGTGTAGAATATGCTGTTGGTATTTTGATTGGAATTACATTGAATCTATATACAGATTCCTCTTAGTTTTCTTAACTATGTCAGCATGATTTTCCTTCCTAGGAAACTGCAGAGCAGCCTTTGATAATTCTCTGCTTTGTGATTTTTTTTTTTTTTCCCCACGCACTCACTTTTTGCTATACCACAACTAGTTCAGGAAGACATGAAGTGCTTTTACTTCTACGGTATCAGGGTATCTTGTTTGTAGTCTCACTTATGCTGTTTTAGTTTGATATTGTAAATTTGCATTCATTTTGACTCTTAGAATTTTCTTCCTAAAGCCCATTTTGATCTTGTCACTTTCTTGCTTAATATTGTTTTCCTTATTGTCATAGTTGCTTGTCAGTTACGTGATATTTAAGAAGGCCATTTGCAATGAGGCCTTTAAGTTCTGTTTTTCATTCTTATATTTACATTTATGGGTGAATGTTATTCCCTTTCCTACTTAGCCTGTTTTGTACAGTCTATGTCTTAATTTGTTTTCTCATTGTGTCATTAACCTTATTACCTATTTTTGGCCTGGAAGACCCTTCATCAGATGTTAATACCTACAACGTTTCACTGATACCTCACCCTAGTGTAGGTATCACAATTACCTTCCTCCAGGGATGCTTTATAATTCCTTTATAACATTTTTCACACTATGCTTCAAATGTAATTGTATCATCCATTAGATATAAGCCTCTTGATGACATGGTCCATATCTTATTTAATTTAAGCATTTGATCGTTGTCTAATACAACAATACACAACATACACATTTTCATTTACTCATCCTAAATATCTAACATATTTACATGAATACACAGATACATACATGTATATATATGTATATGTATCTTTACTATACATCTATCTACGAAATGTGAGTGAATATAGCATGCTACATGAATGTAACGTGCCTTCAAATACTTTATATGCTACTATGAAAAAAGATATTAGAAAAAAAAAGATATTAGTGCCATAGCTGAAAGGCATTGTGTAACGAGCATCTGGAAATTTCTGTCACTCATTAACCTTATCAATCATTATCATGTCTACGTTTTTGTAAGCATTTTTTTCTATCTTCTACTGTTGCACCTCTCCACTTTTATGGTAAAATGTATAATTACAGATTTTTTTTTCTTTTGCTATAAATCATTTATTTGTATATAAACATCAGGAAATATTCTTAGAAAAAACAAAATTTCTCTAAGTATTAAATTGAATTTATAATTTAATATTTGAGAATCAAGAAATTTTACTTACAGATTTACAGAGATTACTTTTTGAGATGTTGCATGTATGTTTTTGTTAGCTTAGCCTGAATCTTTTCTTCATGTGAATAGTGATGATACAATTTAGTTTAGTGTAATGTTATAAAAACTTCAAAACTATTAAAACGTTTCCATTTGCACAATTTGGTTTCATTTACTGATGGTATTCTCACAAAAAATAGGGTTTGTTACATAATATTTATATTTTAGGAAGAACAAGAGTGTGGATTAGAGGCTAACATTGTGATATGAAATACAGATTTATAAAATGTAAATAAAATGCTTTATGTTCTTTATGCTCTAATATAATTAATTTGTTTCTAGATGCTGGCATCGCCATCTACATCAGGTCAGCTGTCTCAGTTTGGGGCAAGTTTATACGGGCAACAAAGTAAGAATTTTGTATTTATTCTGGGATATTTATTTAAAGAGAAAAGTAACTGTTAAAGGGCAAGCAGCTCCGCCCTTTTGGTTTGTAGGATTTAACAAAAAAGATACTTTTTAGTATTTTTTTAAAAATTTACATAGAGAAACCTCATTATTTTAGCCCTCACTAATTCTAAATTGAATATAGGATAAATTCAAATGTATTTTGACATATTTTGTGTTATATTTAAAGTGGTAAACAAAAGTAGATACTCTACTTGATTTCAACTAAAGAAACTTAAAGTCTGAGGTTTGGGGGGTTATTACTGTTTTTTATTTGGTTTGGTAGATGTTTTATATTTTGTTTAGCACATAATTTTTCTTCTGCTTTAGCTCTGTCTCATAGAATCTTAAATTTTTGATGTACAGTTCAGTTCTTTTTTCATTATATAAGATTTTCTTTAAGTATAATATTTTTAAAGCGCTTAGCATAGTGCCTGGCGCATAGTAAGCGCTCAATAAATATTAGTTATTATAAAATTCTCAATTACAAAATATCTTCATGTTTTCCAAATTTCAAAAATTCTACCTATTAAAAAGATTTATCCTCTCCATTAGTGTTAACAATCTATTGATTTCTTATTTCCATTAATGGAATGGGGTATTAAAAGTATAAATTCCAGTCAATTATATATCATAATTAACTGAAGGAGACATCTGAGCACTGACAGTATTAACCAGCTTCAAACAAAAATCACTTATTGACTTGGAACCTTTCCTGTATAATGAGAAATAAAAAATTTTGATAGGTATTAGAATACCTTGTCATGCCACTTTATTCTACATATAGGTTTTAAAGTTTAGTGGGCAACGAAATTAATTTTGTATATAAGCATTGTTTCTATCTATGAAACAAAGTTTTACTAAAACAGAATTAGTAAATACACACAAATCCATCCTTCCTTCCTTTCTTCTTCCTTTAACAGGTTTTTCTAATTAATTGCATTTTAGAAGCTTTTCGTTGCCCAGAAAATATATTGCTTATTTATCAAGAAATGCTTATCCTGTTGAAGGAATATTATTAACTAGCAGTGTTCTGTTTGGCCTGTGTTTCAAGTTTCCATGTGGTACTTGAGTGAGAGTCAAGGTTTTAATAGTTTTAAGTCAGAATGTTATATTTGAGGAATTGACTTTAAGTGTGGAGAGAAAGGATTAGAGGGGAGTGCCATTTTTAGTGGCAGCTTACTGTGACAACGCATCAAGACTGACATAAATCAAAGTTCTTTCTTCCGTGTGCATTGTGGTACCACCATTAACTTTGTATTTATATTGGGCGAGTTCAGTAGGATTTTGTGGTACTTGTATGTGGGTTCTACTGGTTAGAAAAGTTAGAAGACTGAAGAAGGAAGAACATCCTCTTCAGAATTAAGACTTGCTGAAATAAACAAGAGTGTTTCTCATGAAATGAGTATAGAACTATTTAAACCGATGGCTTTCTAGATTTCGGTAGAATATCATTTGCTGCTTGAGATAACCTGAAAATACTGGACTAGAGCTTTATACGATCTCGGATTCTGGTATTATATCTTAAAAGTTAACTTTTCATCGAGATATTCAAATATTTAAATTCCATGGTGTTCTCTATTTATCTTTGTGAATGTGTTCATAAGATTTGAAGTATGCCTTTAGGATTAAAAGATTTTTGAACTTACTGAAATTGTTTACTAGATTGTAATGAACAGGGATTCAGGAATGAATTTCTACTGGATAGTCAGGGCTTTGAAATTAAGAGATGATATAGTTGCAGTGCTTTTTTACCAGTAGGATTGAGAGCCTTATAAAATTGAAGGAAAAAGAAAGTACCATTTATTGAGTGCTTCCCAGTTTGTGGTACTGTCTTACAGGCATATAACTAACTCTCAGATGAATCTGTTATATACATTCGTATTTGAATTCTCAAGGGTCCAGCCTCCAGTTGGGATAGGAAATAGTTCTTCCTATAGTTTGGACTATTAGCTTTAGAGTAGCAGCAGGCATAGTTTCAGGCTTCTATCAGACATCTCTTTGACCTTTCATTTTAAGAAGTCCTATGCAAAGGCTCCTGGGTTTGTAGAAAACCAAAGCATAAGTGAGGTGGTTCAAGAGTGTTGTTGTTAACAGTGTAAATAGATGAAAGATACATATTGATCACTTCAAGCTTAAAGCGAGCAAGTCAGTTCCACATTAGCCATTTAACAGACTCTTAAAGTTTAGTCATTGGTACTGAACACTGGGAAGTCTCGCTTTTAAACACATGCTATAGTTGAGGAAGTTAAGATATGAATAAATTATTACTTAACAGCCCATGATAATAATATATGGGTATCATGTATGGAATGGTATGAACAGTGTTTTAGGGTTTGGGGAGAAAAGCACAGTGTGTTATTGTGGTTATAAAGCTTCAAAAGGAGGTAAGAATTGAATTTGACAGATATTGAATTTCATGCTAGACACTGCAACTCTATGTAGACGCAACCATTTATTCCCTTTATGACATCTTTGTACAGTATATATGCTCCTGTGATGTTACTAGTTTTATTTTTTGCATGTTTTTATTGCCTTTATGTCCTCAGTACTCTGTACATAACAAGCACTCAGTAAACATTTGTTGAATATGTGATGAGCAAAATAGGGTTCCCATATATAATTTAACACTAAATACATTTACTATACGGTAAGAAGTTGAGAATTTTCTGGATATTTCAAAGGCAGGAATCATCACTGTCTTTAAGAATGATTAAGGAAAGAATTCACAGATGAGACCATGTTTGAAATTGACTTTCAAGAAACCAAATAAAGTTGTTTTAGTCCTCAAAACAATACATCATAGGATAGCTTTGAGAGTAGTCCTAGCATCAAGGCTAGGAAAACTTAGGTTGTTAAATTAATTTCAGCGAAGAACTATAGTATTCACTTTTCTATGGGATATATCTCAAGATCTTTGCTGCTTTCCAAATTTAAGAGCTATTCTGTGATGAAATAATCATTTAATGAGGTAATCTTATTTTATCTTCACCATAAGACTACCTGTGAACTTTCTTTCCATAGACATGTTTTACATAAAAACTAAACAACAGGGGCTGGGGATTTAGCTCAGTAGCATAAGCACCTGCCTTGCAAGCAGGCGGTCGTGAGTTCGATCCCTAGTACCGATACAAAAAAAAAAAAAATTCCTCCCCAAAAAAACTAAACAACAAATATTTGTTTACTGTGCCTGATGTTATTTTAAGCATATGATATAAATTAACTTTCTTAATTTTCAAAAGAGATTAAGGGACTTGCCCAAGGTTATGTAAATAGTAAACTGTAGATCTAGAATTGCAATAACAAGAATAATTCTATGTATGAGTTGAGAACTTGTGATTCTCTAAAACCCACAAGCTAAATACTACTCACTGAATTTCATGACCCTACAGGGCCATTTTACATGGTAGAACTTACTTATGTTCAATCCATAGATGTCGGGAATTTGTGGAGCACTCTACTGAAGACATTATTATAGGATTTATTCATTGAACATCATGTACTTGAGTGCCCACTTTGAATGTGATTATTATTCCAAGAGCTAAATGAATAATAAGAACTAGTAAGAATATGGCAAATAATAGTTTCTGTTTCATGGTGTTTAGTTTTAATAAAGATAGAGTAAACATGCTGGCAACTAAGTAAATAATTTAACTCTCGTAACAAGTGCTACACAGGTTAAGTCAAGTTAATGGGATGAGTGGATAGGATTAATAGTTTAGATGGAACAGGCAGAGTGTCCCTAAGGAGGTCATGTTTGAATGCAAAACTAAATGTTACGGAGACGAAGTCCTTGGGATGATGTAAAGGAGAGCTTTTCAAATACAACCAACACCAGGCATCACAGTTGTAATTTTCAAGAATATAAGAATGAATTTTAATGAGTTATAGGAGGAGTAAGAGGCCCAGCGTAATAGATAAGACTAATGAAGCAGCAGTCATCAGATAATTTTGAACATACAATTTTAATGATCTGCTTAGCTATATAAAAAATGAACTGGATGAGAAGGCACAAAGGACAAGGCTACTTCTGTAGTAGCCTGCAAGAGAATAGGGTAACTTGAGTTAGAGGCGGAGTTACTGGGAAGTGGTCAGATTGGAATATTTGGGAGTAGAGCTGGTTTGACTTGATGATGTAGGATGTAGCAGAGAGGGATCGAGTATAATTTCTAAGGTTTGAGACCTGAATGAGTATCAGTAGTCTATAACAGGTATTTAGGCTGAGGAAAAGTACAAAGTATATTTGAAAGATGCACACAGCTCTTCCACAGGTAAAGATCCTGTGGAACTTCTATGAAGAGCCAACCAAAAGTTGGTTGGCATTATCGCATATTTCTTGTTTCATACATTCTTAGCAGCTAGAGAGTAAGTTCATTCCTCCAGGTGTGTGACTTGTTCTCCTCCCCCCCACTTTTTCCTCCTACCTATCCTGTCCTTTTTTCTCTTCCTTTTATTTGTTGCCTGCTCAGCCCAGAACTCTTGTGTGCTTCAACATCCTGAGTAGCCACAGCTATTTTACCCAGCTTTTTTGTCCTTATTTTCATATATCTTGTCATTTTCTCAGATTGAACTGTTGTAACATCTGCCTACACCATCTGAATGCCTAGTTAAATCTTTTTTGTTACTTAGTTCATATTATGTTTCCTTCAAGAAACCTTTTCTGATCACAGATACATCTCTTCCTAAGTCTAAATTAGTGGTCGCTCCTACATGCATTCAGAAACACTGTGTAGACTGTGTAAAGATACCTGAACTATAGTACTTATGTATTTACTTTTAAATAGTCTTTGGTATCTCTGTGGAACAAGAAAAGTATTCTTAGTAAAAGAATGATATGAGTAGTATAGGTACAGGGAGAGATTTGAGAAGGGGAGCAGGGAAAGAAGGAAGAAGATTATAAATCAAGTATTTTAATATATAAATACAAAAATGTTAAGCAGGGTTAGAGCAAGTTGTTTGGGTCTTGGCAAAATTTTAAAGACTAAACTATTCGGATTCTATACTATTGTGATTAGACTCAATACTGTATAATAGTGGTTCTCAGTCTTGCATGTATTTCCAGCACACTTGAATTTTAAAAATTCTACTACCCATGAATTACCTAAACTCAGACTAAATCATAATTTTTGGAGATAGGACCCATATACTGAAGTTCTCTGGGAAGTGCAAAAGTTAGTAACAACTATAGTGGCACATCTTGCCATAAGTATTTAAGAGATGTACCATAGTTGGGGGCTGGGGATTTAGCTCAGTGGCATAAGCGCCTACCTTGCAAGCAGGCAGTCATGAGTTTGATCCCCGGTACTGATAAAAAGACAAAAAAAAAAAAAAAAGAGAGAGAGAGAGAGAGAGAGAGAGAGAGAGAGAGATGTACCATAGTTTGTGCCCCTGAAATAATTTGTGGAATTATGTCTTAAATCATATTCTTTAGGGTTTCTGAAAAATGATCAATAAAAAATTGAGTTTGTTCATTAATTATGTAGCACCCTGCTAAATGATTTTAGAGTGTGTTCTTACAGTCCTCCTAAAAGAAAAAATAATAATTCACAGTTCTAACCTTTTAAACTGGTTTTTGTTTGTCCTTTTTTTTTTTAAACCTATGAAGTAAGGCTTAGATATTTTTTCTATAGAATTGTTAAAAAGAACTAAAAGCAATAGAATAGTAGCATAATGTTTGGTAGTTAGGTAGTCAACAAATTTTATTCTGCTCTTTCCATTCGCTAACTCATGCACAAGCTCATCTGTGCATATTTATATTTTTTCTCTAGGTCTTTTATGTCCCCTCTGAGGAAGGGGAACTTCTTGCTTTTTTTTTTTTTTTTTTTAACTTGTATATTCTATTCTTAAGTCAATATTTTGGAGATAAGTTTAAATTTTCTTCTCCCCTAAACTTTTCTAGTTCTAATAGTTTGACTCAAATAAATCACATTTGATGATTTTGTATATTTTATTTCCTTAAGATAAATCTTTACATATTCATGTTCCTTTTGATTGCTATTTCTTTTAAAGCACTTAAGTTTATAAAGTTAACCCCATTAAGTATTCAGAAATTGATGATTCAGTTTATAATGGTGTGGTGTGGGATGGTTTGGTTTGGTTTGGTTTGATATGTTTTTTTGAGACAAGATTTCACCATGCAATTCAGTCTGGCCTAGAGCTTACTTTGTAGCCCAGGCTGGCCTCAAACCCACAGTGATCCTCCTACTTCAGCCTCACAAGTACTGCGATTACAGGGATGCACCACCATACCTAGTTTTGTAGTGGTGTTTTTACTTTATGATCTCTTCATAGTTCCACAAAATGCCACTCAGACATTTTGAATTTATTAGATCTTTTATGAAAAAGGTAAATTTTGTAGACTAAAATTAAACAGTAATACTTTTTATTTCATAGTCTTTTAGTATCATAAATTAATTGAAGTATGCCAGTCTTTAATTTGCTAAGTATTCTTATCCATTCTTGTTTGCTTTCCCACACTTTTTTGCTAATATTTGATAATCTCCACTGTCTAAAATATTTCTGATATTACAAATTTTCACTACATAGCATAGAATAGTATGTATAGAGAGATATAGTGAATAGTCCTCAGAGAGTTTTACCAGTGCTTTAAAAGGAGGCCAAAAAGCACTAGATTTTTGGTAAACATATATTTATAGTAATGAATGAATAGAAAAGTCAGTTAACTCACTCAGATTTCTTTTTTCTATAAGATGCATAAGATATTGTTTTGAGTGTGTGTGTGTGTGTGTGTGTGTGTGTGTGTGTGTGTGTGTGTTATCAGTACCTGTAAGAAGCACATTCTTTTGGGAAATCTGCATGTAACTTAAGAGCATCTTGTTTAGGGAGTAGGATTTAAGCTGTTTGAGACTAGGAGCCTTCTATCTTGTTCACTGTCTCTAGCAACTAGTATAGTGCATATCAAATAATATCAAATAATAGGTGCCCACTGATTGTTCGACTGAATAATGTGAAAAGTATGATTTTGGTGGTTCATTATGGGAGCATGTAGAAGGCTTAGAGGGAAACTGATATGCTTGGGCAAGAGGAAAGACTTGATTTCTTAAGAAATTTTTAATGAGCAAATTTCTAATCTCGTGTTATCCCTTATTTTGTTGAAGAGTCATAGAAACTGCTGGCCCCTAGTGCCATTTTCATGGTCACAGAATTCAAACATGCATTCAGTATGCTGAATAGACATTCAGTAGTGACTGAATAACAGTCAGTAATGACTAATATAATCTAGACCAGTTCCCTTTAGGCATGTTAAAGAAATCAGATTGCCAAATTCCAGATACTTAAAGGTGAAATCCTTGTGATCTCTTAGAAATTGACACATTATTATGGTATATGGAAAAATAAAGTTTACAGAGATATTTGAAAGAAAATATGCTTGGTATATATAGAACTCCTATCTATTTAGAAGCCAATAGTTTTAAAAATCTTCAGGTTTGTGAAATTATTTGACACAAAATTTGATCAAAAAGGGAAAAGAAAAATTTCCTTAAATCCACAGCATGAAAGACATCTATTTATTGATTAGCTCTCCGACTTACTGCTTTTAATTTTCATTCGCAGTAAGTTTCATTGACCAGTGCACTATTCTTTAGCATACTAAAAAGAGCACTAAACATACAGATTAGAAGGATGGAAGAAATGGGGCTGGAGGTTTAGCTCAGGGGCATAAGCGCCTGCCTTGGAAGCAGGCAGTCGTGAGTTCGATCCCCAGTACCGATAAAAAGGAAAAAGACCAAAAAAAAAAAAGGATGGAGGAAAGGATGCCACCATAAATGACAGCCGTATATTCTTACTTTGAGGGATAAAGGAAAAAACATAAATATACAAAATGAACTGTCTGTAGGAAAATTATGAATCATTAAGAAGTATATATTTCATGTTATCTGAATAAAAGTAAATAGTGTCATACATCTTAAAAATTATCCAAATGGGGTATTTCATGTTTTATATCTGAATGGTAAACCCTTAGCGGTATTAAAAAGAGTATCTATGGGATATGTCTGTCCCTATAGCTGGTCACAGGAGTGCTATATAATACCTTGAAAGTCTACCCTTTTTTTGCCTTTCATATCTATGTCAGGTTAAGCTTTTTAACAGTTCTTGGCATTTTATGTTGGATCTATAAAATACATGATATTGATAAATTTGTATACATTTATATACTTGTTCAAAATGCATTTTTAAAAGTATATAAAAATTAAAGCTACTTCAGCAAAGTGGGGATAATATCTTTCTGCGTACATCAGTTGTGAATTCAGACCACATGACTGTAAAATGTTTTAAAGGTGTATGTCTATGTACTTTACAAATACACCTTTAATAATTTTAAAAACTATTGGTTCATAGTAATGTATCTTAGTATTAGAACCATTGATAGACACTGTTTATTGTAAAATAGAAATATGAAAATTATATTCAAAGTATTAAACTTCAGACTAGAATATTTTGTTAGAATTAGAGTCCATTTGAAGTAAGTTGAATTTATCCATTTAAAATTTGCATATTATGTTAGGTCATTTAAAAATGTTTTAAATTGCCAGCTCCAGAAGATGGATGACAATTTCATTCCTGATGGCAATGAATTTCCTTCTTCTGAATCTTTCTATTAGGTGCACTAGGCCTTCCAATGAGGGGGATGAGCAACAATACCCCTCAGTTAAATCGCAGCTTATCACAAGGCACTCAGTTACCGAGCCACGTCACGCCAACAACAGGGGTACCAACAATGTCACTTCACACGCCTCCATCTCCAAGCAGGTATTTATTGATGGACCAGAATATTTCTCAAACTGTATCTGTGTAGTAAGCAAGCTTTTAATTTTTTAATAAGATAGTTACATAATTTTTCTGGTTCAGTGCATAGTCGGGGAAGCCTATGCTCATTTTATTTTTTTACAAATTGATAAATGTAGTACCAAATGTTTTATCCTCCAACTAGCCTACTAGTTAATTGGGTGAATATTAAGGGTTAATTATCTACCTGGTTAATTCCTGAAACGTGCAAGTGGCTCCCCATATAATTATAATCCTTGCTTCTTGGCCCCCACATCATGGCTTTAAGTGTGAGTAAAGTAAAACATGACATAGATTATGCATATTTAGTATAAAGAAGATACAGTGAAATGAATTTTGAGTAAAATTATTCCAAATATGTAAAGTACATTTGTAATTTGTATCATACTCACACTGATAGTTCATCATCTTAGCTATCACCTTAATTTAATTTCACTTTAATCCCCCCCACCTGCGTTTTGTTTGTTTGTTTACTTTGGTTTTTCATTTCAAGGAGCTAGAATAGACTAAAACACAGGAATTTAATAAAAAATAGAAATACAGTTTGAAAAGTATTTTTGAGATTCTGGGTTTAGAGCAATTGATTATTTATATAGAATATTAATGAGTAACTATAGAAAGCTTATATAGTATAATGGACTTCTTTTGCAGGGGTATTTTGCCTATGAATCCTAGGAATATGATGAACCACTCCCAGGTTGGTCAGGGAATTGGAATTCCTAGCAGAACAAATAGCATGAGCAGTTCAGGGTTAGGTAGCCCCAACAGAAGCTCGCCAAGCATAATATGTATGCCAAAGCAGCAGCCTTCTCGACAGCCTTTTACTGTGAACAGGTAAGATATTTATTGATACTGTATATAGTTGTCTCTTGGATATCTTTGGATTTGCTTTTTCATATTCAACACTTTATTCTTGAAGCTTGGCTTCTGTATCAGGTGTATTTGATCATACATTTAGGAGCTGTGGTTGTGATACAATCATAACTTTTAACTCCCCCAAAACTAAAGATACACTCTTTTAGAAAATATGTTTGATTTTAGAAAGCACATTAAATATTTATTTTATTTTATTTTTAGAGAATAATTATTCTTGGATTGTCAGGCAAATTTTTGTTGATAATTGCTTTATTAAGTTAGGTTAGGCACATATGTGGTAAGAGCTTTAGGTTCATGAATGAGGTGGAGACACTGACCAAAGCCTTTTTAAAATCATAGAGTACTTTAAAACAGTATGTTGTATCTTGGGCTTCAAAATAAAAAGACAGGACATTTGTACTGTCTATTGCATATGCTATACAAATAGCAGTAAAAATTACCCATTTTTTTAGTATTTTTCAAGCTGTTCGGTAACTTATATAGGAGTTCACATTCAAGATAGATTTCTTTGCAAAAACTGTTTCTTTAAGTTGAGGACTATGGAAATGGTGAAGACCTTTGTTTAGTTGTTACCACACCTGTTTACTTCTGTCTTGCACTTATAAAATCTGAATTAAAATAGATTTTTAGCTCATTTTCTGCTAAATCGTCATCCTATACATTCTGATTCCTTTATGTAGACTTTTGATTTTTTCAGCTATAATTTTATTGCTTTTAATTTTTAAATAAGTTATTATTTATGAAGGCTGTCAAAGTTATCATTTTAAGAGTTTCCTAACAGTGTATTTCTTATGCTTTATTGCATCTTTCTGAATTCGTGTAATATCACTCATTGAATATATTTTAGTTTTTGCCTTTCCATATTTTTTCACATTTTTAAAAAATACTTTCTTTATAGATTGTGAATGCCACATGAAAATTTAGAGCCTTGGTTATTTCTACTATTGGTACTTATATTGATTATAAAATGTTTTCATCTTTGAACACTTACTCTGTATGAGAACATCTATATCATTGACAATTCTGACTTGATATTAAACAAATGTTTCTGTTGACTTACCTATTCTAGAGTGTTGTTTCATCAGTTACATATTTTACCAAAAAGTCACTTGACCAGAGTTCATTTTAGAAATTTAGGCAAAGAACTGCTATCTTCAAATGGGTTGGCTCTGTTTTGTAACACTGATAAACTGTCTTTTACCAGATGATTACTTGAAACTAAGGATATACGTTTCATTATAGACTCTGCACTAATAATTCTTAGCACTCTTTAGTTATTTGACTTTGCTCTAGTGTAGCCTGTTTTTCTTTTCCTTTCATGTTTAGTTTTCTGTATAAAAAAGGGAGCATTTGTGATTATTTACCAAATACTAGTTGTATATTAATTCAGAAATAGAGGGGTACTCTAAAGGGTATTTTTGTTATTGTTTTTTTACTAAGTAGATGGAAGGTACACTACATATGGAACACTGAATTCACAAAGCACCATTTAATTCAGGTCAACTAAACATTTATTGAATGCCTATTTTTGTTCTTGGTACCGGAGATTGAACTCACAACCTCGCGCTTGCCAGGCCGACAATTAGGCCACTGAGCTAAATCCCTGGCCCTATGCCTGTTTTATTTCAATAAATGCTAAAGGGAAGACAATCCAAGGATGAATAATATCACATGGTCTCTGTCCATGAGAAGCTTGTATTTTAGTTGGGAAAGATACATACTACATGAAAGAAAATACATTATGAAAAACAGCAAGCTTTGCAAATAAGGCAAGGAAAACAAGTATTCAGGAAGGATAGTCTTGCACCTATCTGAATATTTTTGAGATTATATGCGTATAATATTTAGTCAACTGGTTCACCAAGAACATAAAATGACACCCCTAATTTAGTTTCCCTCAAAGTTCATATGTAAATTCTTTGCTTTTTAGTTAATTTGTGTGAGCTGTCTTGGTTTTAACTTATTCATGAAAGGACTTCAGAGATTTTTTTTTTAAATAAAAATAAGATTAAATTCAGAAAAATAAAATCAGTAAACATTTTGAAGCATACTGTTGTTTTATATGAGACCAAAAGCGTACACTTTGTTTTTCATTTCAAAGTTAGTGTTCTTACTGTATATCTAAAATTATTTTCTGTGTACCCAGTATGTCTGGATTTGGAATGAACAGGAATCAGGCATTTGGAATGAATAACTCCTTATCAAGTAACATTTTTAATGGAACAGGTAAGCTTATTCTGGAGCTAGTATCCTATTAAAAATACAGTAGATTTCTAAAATATAAAACAGTGCAACATACTGGTCTTTATATATTGTACACTTTTTTTAAAAATTGTGTTATGTGGTGAAACTGAATTTTGTAAGAAATTGCCAGAAATAGAATTTAATTCAGTAAGCAATTTTTTTCCATTTGGCGTGTTGTTACCGTAGTGATTCGTGTGACAACATCATGATTATTTCCTTAACAGCAAGACAAAGCCCAAACATTTACTTAAGCTATACTTATTCTTCACAGTCTCTTGCTTCAAAACTTTTCCTGTCCTTGGGTCTGTCACTGTGAAAATATACCATCTGGACTTGGTTAGGTGGGATAATCATCTGATTGTAAAGAGACCTAGATAGAGAACCTTTACATATCCTAGTTTTGATAATACTGATTGTGGCACTTAACTATTAGAATTTTTAATCCAGTTTTACATATAAAATTTAAAGCCTGGAAAACCATTTCTAGTTTTGACAGAAAGTTCGCACAGTTTGTTTCTTTTATCAGCTATTCCAGGCAGAAGAAAATGGAGAATAGTGTTAGTATTTTGCTTCAAGTTTCGTTCATCTTCACTTCTAGACTTTGCTGAGAAAGAAAATAAAGGATGCTGTTATGACTATAGGTTCAAAATTGAGGATTGTTGGGAGAGAAATACATGTAAAGGAAGTGGTAGGTGAAAGAAGAATTAGTAAGATGAGCCATATTTCAGAAGCTCCACAGAAGATTTAATAAGGAGATGGTATTTCTAGCTATGGGCTTTTAATTTTTGGATGTTAATATTTGCTCCAGCATAGATTGATCAAACAATGTATCAAAATGTTTGAAAAATTCCAGATTTTACCATTCATATGTGGGAATTTTGTATTCAGGATATTAAATACAACAGTATTTTATTGTTTCTAAAATGCACATTTTTTGTGTTTAAATAACAATGAAATCAGGCTGCATTCCATAGTTCAATTGGAAGGTTTTTTTTGTTTTTAAGTGGGACATTCATTGTGTCAAACAATGCCATCTTAGATTCTGAGTTGTGGTTTTATACACTGCTATAAAATCTTAGAATTGTTTTTAAAATTCTATTTCCAGCAGGTGTGGTGGTGCAATCCTGTAATGCCAGCACTTGGGAGGCTATGGCAGGTGGATCATTGTGAGTTCAAGACTAGCTTGGGCTGCAAAGTGAGCTCAAGGCCAGCCTGAACTGCACAGTGAGACCCTGTCTTAAAAAGACTAAATCAAATAAAATTCTGTTTCTACTAGTTATGAGGAGAATGATTTTCAAGTCTTTTCCTAAAATACAAATTGTTTATTAAATAATTTATTAAAATTTTTTGGTTAAAAATATTCTCTAATAATGACTATTTTAAATTCTGTTTAAAGATGAGTATTAAAAGTCAGTAGAGATAAAGGTTAGATATAAATAATTTGAGGTTGTTTTATGAGTTAAAAGAGTATGTAACATTTCAATTTCTATTATCTTGTTCAGGTGATAGTATTTTAATTGAAAATTTAAACCTTTTTTTAAACAATGAGTCATGATGTATCTTAACTCTTATAATTTTTAAATTATCACTTGACTTGGAGCATTAATGGAGTCACTTGTTTTTCTGTCAGAAAATAATCTAGAAATAATAATTGAGATTCTTTCAATTATAAAATTCAAGGAGAAATAAAAATCAATTGAATAACAACACAGAAGTGAAATAAACACAAGATCAATGATTAAAGAAAAACTAGCATGGGTTGAATTGGTGATAGAAAATTAGGTTTTTCAAAAATTAAATGCAGGATTATAAGAATAATAAAATTTGAGGGGGAAAACTCAGGGTATAACTTTGCAAAATAGAGAAGTTGGGTTAAATTTAATTTTTAAAAGTAAATTTTATTTATGTAGTATATATTTATTGAGCGCATACTGTGTAATAGGTAATATAAACTTCTGATTTTATAGCATATTCTTATACAGTGTTTTTACCCACTCCTCAGAAAAGGGAGCTGTGCTCCCGTCCTACTTAATCCTCAGTCCTCAAAACACACACACACTTGCATATGAAACCACTAGACTACAAGGCAGAAGTCCTTGAGGCTTCTCTCTCCCCTGTGTGCACCTGTATCTTTCTGGCTATTTGTAGGAGGTAATGTCTTTGCTACTCGTGTGTGTGACTGAAGCTTCAAGCGTTCCAGCTAACAGCTTACGTATGGATATAGTGAAAAGAACAGTTGTATCATTCATCTCTTTCATGTTCTCTGTTAGTTAACTATGAATTTTAAATTACAATCTTCCATGGTGGAAATAGTACCCAGTAAGTTTCTATAGAGTTTTGGATTTTTAATATGCTGGTTATGTATTGCTTTCTTCAATTGTTCATGAAATTCTTTAACATGAATTCAAGCCTCAATTATGTTTTGAGCACTAATGTATATGCAGTATTGTGCTCTATATTTAGGGAGAAGGCATTTCATATTATATTGTTTGGATTTTACAATCTTTTTTTTAAATGTTTATGAAATCAATAACTAGTACTGTTTCTTATTATTTAGACGGAAGTGAAAATGTGACAGGATTGGACCTTTCAGATTTTCCAGCATTGGCAGACCGAAACAGAAGGGAAGGAAGTGGTAATCCAACTCCATTAATAAATCCCTTGGCTGGCAGAGCTCCTTATGGTAATTAAACTTTTTAATGATGGGCAGTAGAAACTTTCTGCAGCATGTACACAAATATGTACATGCAGACACACATGTACATATGCACAGATTGTATAGGTACATAGTGGTACGTATTTGTTTTCTAATCAAGTTAGTGTAATTTTTTTGTCAGAATTGATATTAGAAATCTGGTTTTTCTTCTGAGAATTCCATGACAACAAAGTTTAATGGTAAAACTTGTATAAAAAGCCAAATGAGCAAGTCCTCATTAGTACTCAGAAGTTATTTTCTTCTGCATTTCTGTATTAATTCATCTTAAGTCGCTTATTTTGTGGTCTACCTTTTCTTAATTGGTCTCATATTTTTCAAAGAATACAAAAATTTCTAAGCTAAGGTTTCTCAAGATTCACATTGTTGATATTTGGGCTAGGTGGTTCTTTGTAGGAGGGTATGGAAAGGGTGATACTCCAGTTTATATAGAATGTTTAACATTCCTGGTTTCAACTTTCCACTGCCAGCACACTCCGCCCAACCATTATGACACAGATGTTTTCAGACATTAGAAAATATTCCCTAGGTGAAAAATTGCCCACTGTTGAGAACCACAGCTCATGGACTTGTATAGTTTATATAGATTGTTAGTCTTCATCAGTATCCTTCATTCCCCACTTTCATGGGTTCTAGTGGAAAAGAGAACTGGTGATAGAAACTAAATAAAAATAAAAAGATATATAAAGTAAAAACAAAGCAATTTAGACTTGAAAGTTCTGTGATGGCATTGTAGCCATATTGTATAGCTGTTTCCTTTTGGAAAGGTCTGAGAGGGACCAATAATAGCAAAGCATTTCACTTAGAGAACTCAATTTATTTTAATTTAAAACTAATATTTTCCCATTGTTAATAAAAGATTACTGAACTTTTAGAATGTGAATACAAATTATATGTGAAGAAGGGAAAACTTTATTGTTTATAGTCTAAAGCTTACAAATAGTTCTCAAAAAATAACAAAGTGATCTGCCCTGAAAGTTGAGTACCAAGCTACTTGATTCTCAGTTCAGACTCTAATGTTTTTAACCTTTCCTCATAGGTCCATTTTTTCATCCCTTTAATCATTCCCGTTGCTCTCCTTGGACCATCTCTAGTTTCTCCATATCGTTCTTGAATTGTGGAGCCCCAAACTGGATATTGTTCTCCAATGAGGGCCTGACTAATGCCAAGTATAGTGGGAGGATTACTTCCCAGTTCTTGCATGTTTTACATCTATAACATGGAGTCCGAGAAAATCTGAAATAATATGGAGTTGTTTTATAATTGATTGCAATTTGCTCACTCTGTAAGTCACTTTCAAGTAGAATACTGACATGTTCTTTTAAAATTTTTTTGTTCATTTTATTTGACAGTTTACTGGTATTTATATCTAGTCAGATATTTAAAGCAAGCCTTTAAACCAAAATTTTTAATAATCATTACCAATATTAAATCATAATTTTGAACATCTATGTATGACATTAGATTAGAATGACAAAATTGTCACATTTTCCCCTTATATTATTTTCTGTATTAAGTTACTTATATAAATCAGTACATAAAATGTAGTTCTTGTTTTCAAAACTAATTTTTTGAGGTGTGCTTTCATATTGTTAAAACTTTAGGTACATTATTATGAAGAAAGTTAACTTTTTGTAATGTGTAGTAATATACCATAGATATCAATTACAGTTCTCTGAATTATTTTTATTGCGTAGTTGGGATGGTAACAAAACCAGCAAATGAGCAATCCCAAGACTTTTCAATACACAACGAAGATTTTCCGGCATTACCTGGTTCCAGCTATAAAGATCCAACATCAAGTAATGATGACAGTAAATCTGTAAGTAACTGAAACTTCTGTGAGTAATGTAGTTTTCTTCCTTTCAGATTTCGCTTGTATTAACAGTTACTTACTAAATACTATTACAAAACTGTTTATCTTGACTATCTGTAATAATCTAACTTCTGAAGAATATGGAAAAACTTTGTAACTTAGAAGATAGCCTATTTTTTTCCTATTTCATATAGGTTTGCAAATTTCTGTTGAACTTCTCAGAGTTAATTTAGACTTTTATTGTAGTCCCTGTCAGCTGGATCCCATGAAGTTTGATAATATAGCCTTCTAAGGAGCTGTGTTTTTCTTGAGTAAGTTTTCTCCTTGAAGAATCTTTATACGCATTTTAATACCTGTGTTGATTCAGGCAACTCAGCTTCTTTCTGACTTAACAAATGTGTTCATTTTTTCCACACTAAACTGAAATTAGCTTTTTTGTGTGTGTGATGGGAGTTTGTATATTATTAAAATAAATAATAAAGAGGATTGTTAGCCAAGGATTCAATAAGTATGAATTTTAAAAATTCATGTGTTCCTAGCTTGTTTTGGAGGTTCCTTTGCTGATACTTTAGGTAGTGTACCAAGTGTAATTCCTCTAGTAAAGGAAAACTTTGAAAAATAGTAACTTAAAGCCCTGAACAAAAGATATTTTTCTGTGACTTAAAATATGAGGTAAATGAGAATTATTTTTTTTGTCCATGGTACTGCTCAATTGTGGAGGATATAGGATTTATTTGTATATGATAAAACAGTTATGGAAACAATGTTCATATAGAACTTAAAAACCAGGTAAATAAAATAAATGAATGGCAGGGTATAAACTTCTGTTTGTATACCTCACCACATTTTAATGTCGTGCTTAATTTTTTTCATGCTAGAATTTGAATACATCTGGCAAGACAACTTCAAGTACAGATGGACCCAAATTCCCTGGCGATAAAAGTTCAACAACACAAAATAATAATCAGCAGAAAAAAGGGATCCAGGTGTTACCTGATGGTGGGACTCTATAAATGTCAAAAGTATTATAAAATATATTTTCTTTATTTTTCCTTAGAAGTAAAATGACTATTTTTCTTATCCAGGTCGGGTTACTAACATTCCTCAAGGGATGGTGACGGACCAATTTGGAATGATTGGCCTGTTAACATTTATCAGGGCAGCAGAGACAGACCCAGGAATGGTACATCTTGCTTTAGGAAGTGACTTAACAACATTAGGCCTCAATTTGAACTCTCCTGAGTAAGTTTTCTTTCTTTTTTTTCCCCTTCCCTATTTTATATAATATTTATAGCATTTAATTTCAGATTTCTAGTTTTTAATCTTAACATCATCCAATTATATCACCTTTTGTCCCTTCGTTGTTGCTGTTACCTGCTTGCTTTCTGAATAATTCCCTCTCAAATTAACCCCTGAATCACTGTTACTCTGCAATATTAGTTCTTTTACAATTTGACATGTTTAATATACATGTATGTGATCTTTTCAAAATCCTGAAACCTTGGTTACTTAAATCTCTTTTCCCTAAAATCATGTCATTCGTTGTACCTGAACCATACTCATTGCTAGTAACTGTAGTCTCTCCATAATTTTAAGTTCATGCTTAGCAGTCTTTCTAACTACCCTATTTTGCGTTTCTTTTGTGCTTTTGCTAACTCCTATAATCTTTTGACTCCATGAGACCTTTCATTTGATTCTTCTGCCTTTTCACTGTTACTCAATAGCCTGTCTCTGTTCTTTGGAGAACTTACTTTCTTAGCTGTTGTTAAATCACTAGTAAGTCAGAATTGTTCATTTTCTCGACTTCTTCACCCTTCTCCCACTTTATCATATTTGCATGGTACCCAGACAACTACAGTTGTGGTTATTTCTCTACCGATTCCTTTCCTAACCTGTGTTATATTGTATGTGGCTAGAGAAATATGTCCAACTTCACTGTCCGGTCTTCTCTTTGTATTCATGACTGGTAACCTCAAAAAATACATCCCTAATTTTGCCAGTCATAATCATACCTGGCATAGCTAGTCCATTAGCTCTTTTGCAGATTTTACAAGCCTCTTAAAACCTGTCCCTCTGTCCCTACAGAGGAATAACCTTCCTTTTTTATTTCTACTTTACTAAAAAAGGTGAAAGCAATTGAAAGAGAGAGCATCAGCATAATCCTGCCACCAGATTTGCTTGTTATGGTTTGCATCTACTTGTTCTTATCTTTGACCACTGCTTTACTGTAGTTGATCATGCTTTCTGCCTAACACCTCTCAAAAACTCAAAGATAGGACCATTTTTATACTTTATTGAATCATGTACATCAACCATAGATACATTTTTGTTTCTCATCTTATAAAAGACTTCTTGGGGCTGGGGATTTAGCTCAGTGGCATAAGCACCTGCCTTGCAAGCAGGTGGTCGTGAGTTCGATCCCTGGTACCAATAAAAATGAAAAAGACAAAAAAAAAAAAAATGACTTCTCTTGATCCAGCCTCTCTTGGAGTTAAAATCCCATTTCTCTATTTCCTGTTGAGGCAGATCTCAAAGAATCATCTAGATTTCTCCAGTTTGTTTTCTCCGTTTCTCTTTGTTAAGCCCAATTTAGTAGGATTTTGCCTCCACCATTCCATTACAACCATACTCACAAAAGGTCGCCAAGTGATGACTGTGAGTCAAATTCAACTTATGTGAGCACTTAAGTGATCCCTTTCTCCTTGAATTTGAATACACCATTTTTGCCTGATTTCACTGGTTGATTCTTTGCAGTTTCCTTTGCTGATATTTCCTTGTCTTCTTGACCTCTTTGAGTTAGATTTTTACTTCCTCTCGATAACTTTCCAGCCTCACTTTATAGACTCTTACGTACTGAGAAATCTAACCTTTATTTCCATTCCTGATTTCTGTCCTCAACAGAAATTAGAATTTCTGGATCCCATTGCAATTAAACATCTCTTGAATGGTCTTACTTATATGTACTCTAGCTATAGCCTTCCCAATCTCAGTTAATACTTTGGCATACTTTATCTTTAACTCCTTGCTTCTTTATATATACCATATCGCATCTTTTCACAAAATACATACAAAATCTGACTACATTCTCTCACTTCTTAAAACTGATACCACTCTCATTTGATTGATCATCCTCCTACATTGATAGTCCACTACCAAACACCAAGTATCTCTGGTTCTCTCTTTCCCCTGTCCCATTCACATTCTTCATATAAGAACCAGGACAATACATTTTGGATAAATTACTCCTTTGCTTACTCTACCCAGTAAGAATTTAATTGCAAGCTCAGATTTTTACAGCCTTACAAAAGGTATTTCTCCACAGCTCCCACTCAACATCTTTTCCCTTTATTCAGTTTTCCACTTTGGCTGGCCTTCTTGGTGTACCTCACATATCAATCATATATCTACCTTATTTGCTCTAGCAGTTCTTTCTAAGGAGAATAGTCTTCTACCAAATAATTAATATGATTAGCTACCTCATACTCTTTTGTGCTTGCTCAAATCTGATCTTCTCAATGAGACCTACACTGACTTCTCTTGAGCAGCCAATCTCTTCTCCCAGAATTTCCCCTAAAAAAGATTACTATTTATCTGTTCCACTACTTGCCTTCTACAATGTACAATATGAAACTAGAAGTAAGTTTCATGTTGTCACCAGTCTTCATCTTGAGCGTTTTGTTTTGTTTTGTTTTGTTTTGTTTTGTTTTGTTTTAAGACAGGATCTCACTATGGAGTTCAGGCTGGCCTTGAATGTACTATGTAGCCCAGCCTGGTCTCAAATTCACAGTGATTCTCCTACCTCTGCCTCCTAAGTGCTGGGATTATAGGCGTGCACCCCCATGCTTGCCTGGCTCCAGTCTTTGTTTTTTTCACTGTGTATCCCAAGTACCTAAAATAATGCCAGGCATATATAGTAGTCACTCTATCTATTTGATGAATTGGAAATTTTTCTCATAATTAATTACTGATTTTTTGGGGGGTGGAGGTGCATATAAATAGAAAAGTAATTTCACTTGCAAACATGGTATTGTTGAGTTTAAAGCATTCTTAGTTGAAGTCTAGCAAAAATTTAAATCCTATGTTTTATATATTATAATACACTATGTCATTTATATTGTATTGCAGGAATACTAATGGGAGCAATCCTATTGTATTTTTCATTTTATAGATAGATAACTGTTGCAGTTTTTTGCTGTATAAGCCACAGTAAACCCAAGAAAGGGGCTTAAAAGTAAAGATGCTCATTTTACATTTGAAGTCTGCTTTTCCTAGTTTTCCTGAAATTAAGTTAGAAATCTATTTTTCTACTTTGGACTTCAAAGTGGTTTTTTTTTCCCCCCCTTATTCAGAAATCTCTACCCCAAATTTGCATCACCCTGGGCATCTTCACCTTGTCGACCTCAAGACATAGGTAGGAAAATCTGTTTGTGTTCAGAACTTTTAAGAAAATATTTATAACTGAGAATCAGTTAATAAGGCTTTTTTTATTTTATTATCCAGACTTCCATGTTCCATCTGAGTACTTAACGAACATTCACATTAGGGATAAGGTGAGTGTAGTTTATTATTCTACTCAGTCAGCATGAATTTTATCTATTTTTCAGGTGCTGTTTTCAGTTCAGACACCGTATTTTTGAACTAGCAATTGTTTTAGGGGTATGCTTTTGTATGTCCATTCAATTTATGTATAGCAGTTTCCTTCTATTTTTGCTTATAATCTTAATGTCTTAATGATATCCTGTGTAATATTTTTAAAACAAACCAATATTAAGACTGGCAAAATATTTATTATAATTAATAAAAAGGTACAACTTTACAATTGATGGGAGTAAGCTCATTTAAAGCATTAGATGAACTTTCTTGTGATAGTCTCATTTTATGCCTTTACCCATAAGAAAGTTTTTCTTTACAAGTATTATGTAGTGATTTTAATGAAATAACATATATCTTTTGAAATGATTTACTGTGACTTTCCTCCCTTCTCCATTTTTCTTTTCCACTGATTTAACTACCTGTAATTTTAGTTATAAAGTAATTATTAAAATAATAGCCTTAATCTTTTTTGATCTAAGAAAGAACACATTACATTGTTTTTAGAGGAAAAAGCTAAAAGAAGTTCCTTTCTGCTAGGGAAAAATACATAATGGAATCTAAATCTTAATCTTGTACATTGATTTCATTTAGTAAAAATACTTGTATGTTATACATATATATAAATACAGTTATTTAATTAAATGAATACATTGTGAATATCCATGCAACTGCACAGCCAAATGAATGTTGATATTATAGACAGACAAATAGAACAATATATGTATTTTAGTATGTCTTTTAATATTTAAGTAGTTGGAAAGCAGGAATTACAATAAAGGGAATGCTTGTATCTTTACATTTGTGGATTATGCAGTTTGCTGCCACCTCAGAAGGGTTCTTTTGCTATAGTTCCACAACCTTTATTTATGCCAATATGAAAAAGAATTTGGTGCATTGACAGTTGCCACATGAATTGGTAAAGCTGAACAGAAAAGCTGTAACAGCTAAGTAAACATTTAGAGCAATATAGATAAATTTTTATTTTGGAGCACTTTTAAGTTTTATTGTAATTAAGAATTTGAGACTTGAATTCACTCTCTGTTTACAGTTTGGTATGTACTTGTTTTCTACTTCATGTAGGGAAATATAGTCATCTTTCAATCATTCACTTAACCAAAATGAAGTCATCTGTATGGTTTTGTACTTACCTATGATTTGCTGAAAGCATATAAGCAGTTTGTGAATCCCTTATCTGATGTAGATTAAACACTTCTTATAATCTGCCTATGTGGGCTGCAAGATGCTTTTAGATACTCTCAATTTAATTTCATGTATGTTTTTAGTAACCCATTTACTATTGTCCATATTTTAGAACCAAAGCTCAAAAGATACCAAATAACTTGAATGTGGTCATATTAATAATAGAATTAAGACTTGATTACAGGCCTAGGTCTCCTATTTTAGCGTTGTCATTAGATGATAATCTACATTTGGTTTTCCTTGGAAATTTTTATTTAGCTTTTTTCCTCCTGCTAGTATATCTAATTGCCTAATTATTTAAATGACTTAGCTCTTAAAATTGTATATTACTTGTCTGCAAACATGTGATAACAGTTGTCTGCTATAAAGAATTTCTGTACTGTTTATCTTTCCATTTTTTACTTTAGTAGTAGCAGTTATATATTAGAATTTTAAAATTTGTTTTGCATTTCATAAAAATTTTTCTTTTACAGCTGGCTGCAATAAAACTTGGCCGATATGGAGAAGACCTTCTCTTCTATCTCTATTACATGAATGGAGGAGACGTATTACAACTTCTAGCTGCAGTAGAGCTGTATGTTTAAAATATTTTAATCACTTTTCACTGTAGTGGATCTTGACTGTTTTGAAAACTGTTTTCAATGATGATAGCTATACTTTTTTTAAGTGAAAATCTTTGTTCAAGAAATTTAAATAGTTTATACTAGGTAAAATAATTTAGATCTAAGCTGTATATCACCATGTCTTTATAATCTATTCATAAAAGGATCTTCATTATAAATTTGACAGAATTGACTTCAGTCATAGACTTGATTAATTTAATTTTTGTATGAATTATAAGCTAAGAGTCATGATTGTGGTTCCTGTGAGACCATGTATACTGATTAGACAGAATTCATTATTTAATATCTGTTGATTATCAGCAAGGTTTTCTGCATATTTGTTGTCTTTTCAGTTGCTTATGAAATAAGGTCCACATTCAGTATCGTAGATTTACTGATAGTATTTTTATAAATGGTCTTTTTCAGATACTTTATATTATAAAATTGACTATTTTGGTAATATATGTGTCACTTATTTGTAATTGCACTTTTCTCGTATCTAATTATTTCTAAAAGCTACCTCCTTGTGTTGTCAAGAAAACACTTATTTATATGGAAGTTAATTTGTGTTAACATCCCCTTTGGGTGTTACTTGTGTGGTTTACAAATGATAAATTTTCATTGGTTCTTGGATAAATTCTGATAATATCTACTTTGCTTTTTAGAATTTAGACTCAAATAAAAATGGATAAAAATTAAGTAATACACAAAATTTTCAAAATTGATACTGTTTTCAGCAGCTTGAAAATTAGATAAATCTAAACAATTTAAATAGATTTTGTACAGTAGTTTCATACCAAATAATCCAAATAGTTGACTTTTTAGCCAGGCCTGCTGACATATCTGTAATCCCAGCACTGAAGAGTCAGAGACAGAATTGTTTTGTGTTCAAAGGCAGCCTGAGCTCCATAGTGAGTTTAAGCCCAGCCTGAACTACATGACAAGACCCTGTCCCAAAATAAGAAAACCAAAACAAAACAAAAAGGAAGAAAGGTTTTGCTTGGTTTAATAACATTTAGTTTCTGTTGAGTGTTAAGATAACCAAGAAAGGAATCAGGTTTCTTTTCTTTCTTTTTTGGGGAATGGGGGACCAGGTTTCTATAGTACATCTTTATTTGGTCTTCCTTTTTATCCTATTAATCATAGAACTTTTAAATTTTTATTTTATTTACATAACTAGTATCTGTTATTCAATAAAAAATGTACTTCCTTGATAGTTTTTCAGTATACATTTATTTCAAGTCAGATTGCGAAGCACCCATATTTATGTATGTTACATGTAATTATTCTGAGAAAGCTTTATAGAATGTACAAAATGTTTGATATAAACCAAAATTTAATAATCTTTTTCTTTTAAAAATTGAAGTTTTAACCGTGATTGGCGATACCACAAAGAAGAACGAGTATGGATAACCAGGGCACCAGGCATGGAGCCAACAATGAAAACCAATACATATGAGAGGGGAACATATTACTTCTTTGACTGTCTTAACTGGAGGAAAGTAGCTAAGGTATATTTTTCCCCATGTGCAAGTATATTAATTCAAACTTTAAAAAACAAGTGTCCTTTTTAATTTGTTTATGTATAGCAGTACTTGTGTTCCAATAATGTGCTACATCTTTACCAAGTCTTTTATCTCCAAATGAATGTTCAAAAATATTTCATTTCACTAATATGGGAAAACTATTAAACTTGGTAAAAGATTTTGTAATATTATACAAGATTTGGTAACATTTGTAATAATTATATCACCTGAATTGGTACCATTTGAAGTATTTCTGTGTCTATTGAATTTCAAATGAAGATCCCAAATATGTATTTTCATATATTGTTAGTTTAAGCAAAGGTGAAAATAAAAGGAATATGTAAATGCTTTTTAAACCTACATTCATTGCAGATAAGATACCTCAATTTTTATTTGCAAATTGTTTAAATAAAGAAAATTGAAAGTGTTAGCCATTACTATTCCTGTGACTACTGTGCTAAATACTGAAGAAAAATGGATGGTGGGGAAAGATTGATTCTTATAGTTTGCAGTTGTGCCTCACAAAAATCCTGTTTCAAGTGCAAAATTTCCATCTGTGTCAATGCATGTCTCACACTTGTGTTTAGTCCCTTGTGAATTATCCCCCTAGTGGAAAATGTAGCCCCATTATCCAATTTCACAGAACCAGTTGTATTTTGCTGAATGAATTTTCCATCAGTGACTCGCGATTGTAAACTGAATTAGTTTTATTTGGTTTTGGTAAATGTAAGCAGAAGAAAAACATATTTAACAGTTTTTTGGAATATTTAATTTATTGGTTTGTATATATGTGGGTTTGTATTTTCAATCAGCTATATTAAGCTGATAAAATATTTATACTTCAAAAAGGCAGTGTAGAATGTTCACCAGCTACATACCTCAAATGTTTGACATCCCAGGAAGATGTTATATAAAATTTGGATAAAGAAAAGGATAAGCCCTCCTCAGGTTCATAAGGGTGATGATTGGGTGCTCATGCTCCATGCATGACATGTTTCCTTTGAACCTTGTTATGACGTTGGCACATTACCTATCTGACGTGAAAAAAAAGAAAAGAAAAGCAAAGGATAAGCCCAGCAAATAACCACAAAAATGATAAACTACCAGAGGTTGAATATTTGTTATTATTATTTTTAGGTTTCTTGGTAACAGCTATAGCTGTTATATCTTAGATTTGAATTTAACTCCTGTTTCTGCTATTTCTGCTTTGATGTTGCACAAGTTTTCTTCCCATGCCTTTTCCTTTTTGTAAAATGAAGATGGTAATTTCTTCTAGGTTATTATGAAGACTGAGATTTTAATACACATGCACACGTACCCTAAATACAACGCTTGGCCTATATTGGGTATTTGATCTATGGTGGTGCTAGTAGTTGATAGTGATTGTGTTGTTGCTGTTTTTATCATCATTGTTACAACTTTCTACTAATCTTTCAAACATGGAAAAATTGTAACTAATTGTTACTTGCTTAACTCATGAGTTCTCAAACTTTTAACTTGTACCAGAATTATATGGAAGATATGTTAAGTACAAATTGTTGAACTGTGACTCCACTCTCTTAGGTAGCAAGTCTGTGGGTTTGGGGCCTGAGAATTTACATTTCTAATGAGCTTTCAAATTATCTCAGGTAGTTCTGACCTAGTCCAGGGCCATAGTCACTTCTGAATTAGAGGATCTCCAAAACAGAAAAATAATCTTTGAAGGGAAAAAAGTCATTAGTAAATAACGGAAGTTTTCTTCATTCATTTAGAAGCTTTTTGCTCAGTAGTACTGTAAGTTCCAAACTCACATATGTAAAAAGAGAATATATACTTGCAGTATATATTCTTACATATATACACATAATGTGTTTAAAAATATAGTGAATGTTTACATTTTTAAAATCTTTTTACAGTAAAAAATACATTGCAATTACTTGCTCTCAAACTGCCCCTCCAACCCATTTAGTCTAGCTCACTTTTATCACTTGTTTGAAGCCATTCTGCAAGTCCTCTTTTATGAGTATCTTTAGTTGTACTGTCAAAGTACCTTCATTGTTCTAAACTAATGCAGAATGTTCGCTTTTCATGTTATTTTGCCTTTGGGGAAGAGCTAGAAGTAGCATATGCTCGATCTGATGAACAGGTAAATGAAGAGTCACTGTTTTTACTGGTTTTTTAAAAGACTTCTTGAACTACTTTTAAAAAGTGGAAAGAACTATGGGCTGAGTGTTTAATGTTCAGGGGAATAAATTATTGTCTTGATTACTTTTCTCTTGTTGCTGAGACAAAATACCCAGCACCCAAAATGAAAGAAGGAAAGGTTTATTCAGCTCACTTTTTGTGGAGGTTTCGGTCTATAATCAGCTGGCTCCAAGCAGGGTGGCATGGGAGAGCCAGCACTTCAAGGGGGCAGCCAGCAAAAGTAGCCAGAGTAAAAGGAGGGAAAACAAACCTCTTCTCCCTTACATCATGAGCAGGCTACCCATCCCCACCTCCAGGGCAGGTGTAGCACTCATACCACCTCTGTGCCCTCCTCTTACACAGTTGAGGATGTTAACAAAATAAGAATCCTAGCTCCCTGCTGGGTCTCTTGGTAAAATTTCTAAACTTCTCAAGTTGACTTCTGTATTGATCATCACAAGTATTTTGAGGAGCATCAATAGAAATTCATCTTTTACTATTTTAATTTAAACATTCACTTTATATTTTGATCAGTCCTTGATTAATGATAGATATGTATAGGGAAATCAAGTTAGGTCAGAAAATCAGTTTTCCAGACTTAAGTTTTCCCAAAAGTAAAATATTCAGAAACAAAGCATTAATATGGGCATTTTTACTTTTTTATAAAAAAGTAAAAGTCAGTTAGTTGACAGTTCCCTGAATAGGAAAATTGTTATTTTTAAAGAAAACTATAGCTACTTATCTAAAATATACCTTAGTTTATATTATATGTAATACATGTAAAATAATTTTTTGTTTTTATCTGATATTTCATATGTAGTTGAGCACCTTTACTTTAAAAAGTTTACCTGTGAAATGGGAAAATTACATTTGATGATATTATGAAATTATATACTAAAAGGTCTTATCGTAAATTTTGCTAGCCACTTTCATTAATGCTCTTCCAGATTGTTTTCATAGTGATGAAAAACAAGAATTATTGATTAGTTTCTACCTATTAAGCAGCTGACCTGTTGGTTTTGTTGAAATAAAATTCATGAACTTATGTGTTTATAAAATTTTTGACATTGGGATTTTAAGAATGTGTTCAGTGCTTTCACAGAAAATTACTTAGCAATTAAGAAATTTGGGTGTTATTCATAGTATATTTATTAGCAGACTTCATATAATTACAGAAAATTCATGAATATGACATGTATTACATCAACTTGAGAGTCACCATCTGTAAAATGGTAGGTTATTGTTCGTAAAAAACATTCATTGAGTAGCTTCAACTCAGATGGAACCTGCAGTATGAATTGGTATTCTAATTAATAAAATATTATGTTATCGTAAGATAATTGAACAAATCTAGACTATATCTAGATTTGTTCTAGACTAGACAGTCTAGACTAAATCTAGACTGTATCTTGTGTGATTTTTTAAAAAATCACTTAATATTTTTAGAAAAATCATAGAAACTAAAGCATTAGATGAATTAAATCAGATGTATTTATCCCTAAAATTTTTTGGCCCTATGGATCTAGAGTCAGATCTATTTATTACAGAGTTGCCTAGAGAATGATTGCTAGTGTACATAAAAATTGTTTTTTGTTTATTCGTTTAGATAACCTTATCTTTCTAAAAAGTTATATTGGGGGCTGGAGGTTTAGCTCAGTGGCATAAGCGCCTGCCTTGCAAGTAGGCAGTCATGAGTTCGATCCCCGGTACCGATAAAAAGGAAAAAAGACAAAAAAGAAAAAAGAAAAGCAGTTATATCTGTTAACCCATGTCATTCTGTTAGAATTGGCTACCTGTAGTGGCACATATCTGTAATCCCAGCAGTCTGGAAATCTGAGCCAGGACAATCTCGTGTTTGAACCCAGCTGGGGCAATTTAACAAGACCCTCTCTCAGAATTTAAAAATTTAATAAAGTTAAGTATGTAGTCATGTACACAGGTCAGTCCCCACTACTACCCCCCCCCAAAAAAAAACCTCATATTCCATTAGAGATTTGTGGTAGTTTAAACAGTATATATAATCTCAATGAGTTTTATTTTTATCTTACAATATATATTAGTACTTACTAATTTTACAAAATGCCGGTTTTCAATGTGGCAATGTGGCATTTTGATTATAATTCATCCTGCTTGTTATCCTCTTTTTTATTTTTCCTTTGCTCTTCCCCAGTTCCCTTTGTCTTGTCTATTGTGTTGCTTCTTTAGTGAATAAGACTTTTAAAGTAACTTCTTCCACAGTGAATTGGGACAGGGATCAGATATCAAACTCAGGATCTCACACTTGCCAGGCAAGTGCTGTGCTCTGAGCTGTATCCCTGGCCCAGCAAGATTTCTAATGCTTAGGAATTTTTGTATCATAGCTTAGTATAAATCTGGTGGGTTTTTTTCCATTAACTTTATTAATATGTATCTTTATATTTTGGTAATACGTGTTTTTCTTCAAAGCCTTTCTATTAAGTACATTTAAGATAGTTTTGTACTCCTAAAATTTAAGTTCATACAGATTTATAAGTAAAAATCAGGTTGTTTTTAGAGTTTAATTTCCTACAGTGTGTCTTTATTGTAGATTAGTGACATTTTTGTAATAATTTCATCATCTGAATCCAGCAAATTTGAGTTCTCCTTGAACTAAGCAACTAACTTTTTGAAAACATATACCCTGATTTTTATTTTTGAAAGGAAACTCAAGTCATTAAAAAGTCATTTTAAAAGCTGGATGAGGAATTTAGCTCAGCGACTCAGTTGCTTGCCTGGTAAACACAAGGTCATGAGTTTGATCCACTGGTACTATATATATATATATAATGTATATTCTTTCAAGTCATTGTACTTTAACCTAAAAATTATTTTTCTATTAAAAGTAAATATGCAAATAAGCCCTGTGATACATAATTTTAAAATATTATCTGAAAGGCTGGGGACTTAGCTCAGCAGTGTAAGCACTTGCCTGGCAAGCACAAGGTCGTGAGTTCAATCCCTGGTACCAAAAAATAAAAAATAAAAAATGTAAAATATTACATGAAAGCTATGTTCTGTTCCTATAGCAAATGAAGAAAACTTGTGTTTATTAATTTATCAGCTATTATTGACCTGGTTCTGGTCCAATCATTAGATAATGGAGTACCAAACAAACATATTTCTCAATCCTACAGAAAAGAATATGCTTGTATATAGTATAATCAAGTTACATAAAGTTGTGAACAAAAAGTACAAGCGTATTTAATATATTTTATATATTTTAAGATAAAAATACACGGAAGGCCAGAAAAGTAAAGTCAGTTGACAAAATTGACCTATATATTATAATTGATCAGATAAAATTTGACCTAAATCATCTCTATTTTAAAAACCTTTCAGATTTTTGTAATTATTATTTATGTTCCCTAGATTTTCCATGGTAGGTAGACAAAATATGTGCATTTATTGATAATTCATTTAACTTCTAATACATTTTAGTTCATCAGTATGAAAATTTTAATATATGTAACTTACATAGTTAAGCTTATGATTTGTTAAAATTACAAACAAGTCTTTCACCCAGTATACACTTTGAAAATTAAAGTATCAGTTTTAATTTCAAAAAAATTTTCTTTGCTTATTTGTATCTTCATCTTTAGCCAAAAAATAAAATTCTTTTAATTGTTAGACAGGAGTGGGAAGTGAAAGTAGTAGCTATGTAGTGTAGTCCAGGAAACACGTAGTTGTGATGATGATTCTGGTGTTCACTCATTTTTACTGGTAAGCTGATAACCCCTGCTTTAGTTAGTATCATAAATCCTTTTAAAAAAAGGTTAATGTTACCATAGTACACCTTCTTTATAAACTTTTGTCAAGGGATTTTATTTTTCAACCATGTATCAGGGTTAAGGTGTAATGAAATCCATTTTTGCATCTCAAACTAAACATATTAAAAAGAATGTGGTGCACTAGAAAAGATGCACACTTTGGTGTCACAGTCCTAATCCCAGAAATGCTGTTTATTGTATGACTTTGATAATTTACTGTGAACCTCTTTTCCTCTCCTATGAAGTGAAAATAACAATTTTCTACCTTACAGAGTGAATATAAAGATTAGAATACTCCTAGCAATATTTCCAGTATAGGCACTACTAGGCTTTTGATAAATTATATCTGATACATCTGTAATTGTTAATATAATGTTCTTTAATTTTAAATACTTGGTTCTTTATCTGAAAATTTATTATTATCTAAGTTTTCATTTTAGTTTAGTAATGGAAATACTCACTGGGATTCTGTTTGAATCCAGACACAGAAGGCAAAATATGTTAACCACGATTGCTAATGTTACTTGTTTTAATTTTTAATACTTGCTACATATAAAGGTTCATAATTCTTTAAATGGGGTTATACAGTAGTAGTCTGTGCTAATTTTATATAGCAATTTTAGAACATCTCATTTTTGGAGTTGGCAGATGAATTTGTATTGGCTTTCTTTTTTAAAATATACGAACGTCTCACCAGGTGTGGTGGTGCACACTGTAATCACAGCACTTGGGAGGCTGAGCAGGAGGGTCACTGTGAGTTCGAGGCCAGTTTGGGCTACAAAATGAGTTCAAGTGATAGCCTGAACTGCACAGTGAAACCCTGTCCCAACAAGAAAAAAGGAGAGGAAAAAAAGGATACATCTCTATTCTTGAACTTGAGGGAAAAATAGCATAAAAAGCTACTATTCCTAAATTGAAAATCCATGGAGTCAGTATAATATTTTGAAGATTTGATTAAATGAGAAATCTACTTAGTCTTCAGGTATGCATATATTAAAATCATTGTCTAGTACGCCCCCAACCTTCCAGTGCTGGAGATTGAGCCCAGGGTCTGGTACATGCTAGGCAAACACTCTACTCCTGAGTTACATCTTTCACCCTTTTTCTTTTGTACTGATAGTGTTTCATTACATTACCTAGGCTACCTTCAAATTAATTGGTTTCCTAGGTAGGTAGGGGATTATAGCCATGTACTACTACCTGCTACTGTGCCAGTTGAATTATCTTTAATTTAGGGTTTTGAGTTTATAAAATGTAAGTTCTGGACATGTGTAATTTAAAAGTGTAATAAATTGGAAAATTTAAAGTGTAATAAATTGGAAAAAAATCTTTTAAACTTTTCATGGAAAGTTTTAGGTTTTTACACTTTATTAGTGGGGGCTTTATTTTAAATGTAGTGTAATTTTCTGTGCTTTACCTTAGTCACTGTAATTTCCTCATTTATTTTTTAAGTTTAGAAGGGCACAGAATCTCAGTAAGTAAATCTTTATGAGTAATATCTTTGTACTTAGCAAAAACTACACATTTTTCTTTAAGCTGTATTCTGCTTAGCAAACAGTTTGTATATGTATGTCTGTGGTCATTTTTGTATGTAGATGTTTTAATTGTTCATGTAGTAAAATATATTCTGACAGAATTTTGATACCAAAAAGGGATGAAATTATTTGAATTTCTTATTTTCTTTTTTTAGGAGTTCCATCTGGAATATGACAAATTAGAAGAACGGCCTCACTTGCCATCCACCTTCAACTACAACCCTGCTCAGCAAGCCTTCTAAAATGACTTCCCTTTTCTTGGGGTATGGCTGTCTCAGCACAATACTCAACCTAACTGCAGAACTGATGTGGCTCAGGCACCCTGGTTTTAATTCCTTGAGGATCTGGCAATTGGCTTACGCAAAGGGTCACCATTTAAGGTCCTGCCTTACTAATTATGTGCTGCCCAACAACTAAATTTGTAATTTTTTTTTTCTAGTTTGAGCAGGGTCTGAATTTTTTCCTTTATTTTCTTTTTTGCCAGCAGACAGACTTAAGTCTGTAAAGACAACAAGCAAGTACACTGACAGAGGTTTACCATTTAGTTTCTTAAATGTAAAAAAAACAAAACAAAAAAAAACCAAAAAAACCCACAAAAGACTCTACAAAATTAGACCACAAAATTCGCATTGTTCATTGTAGCACTATTGGTAATAAAATAACAAATGTTTGTGCATTTTTATGTGAAGATCCTTCTCGTATTTCATTTGGAAAGATGAGCAAGGTCTGCTTCCTTCATTTTACTTCCCGTTCTGTTTTTGAAAGGCAGTTGCGCCAATCTTAAATGCAAGAATATCTGACTGTTGAGAAGAAAGATATTGCCACAATCTCTGGATGGTCTCCAGGGTTGTGCTATTACTGAGCTTCATCTTTCCAGAATGAGCAAAACACTGTCCAGTCTTTGTTACGATTTTGTAATAAATGTGTACATTTTTTTTAAATTTTTGGACATCACATGAATAAAGGTATGTATGTACGAATGTGTATATATTATATATATGACATCTATTTTGGAAAATGTTTGCCCTGCTGTACCTCATTTTTAGGAGGTGTGCATGGATGCAATATATGAAAATGGGACATTCTGGAACTGCTGGTCAGGGGACTTTGTCGCCCTGTGCACTAAAGGGCCAGATTTTCAGCAGCCAAGGACATCCATACCCAAGTGAATGTGATGGGACTTAAAGAAGTGAACTGAGACAATTCACTCTGGCTGTTTGAACAGCAGCGTTTCATAGGAAGAGAAAAAGATCAATCTTGTATTTTCTGACCACATAAAGGCTTCTTCTCTTTGTAATAAAGTAGAAAAGCTCTCCTCATTGCAGTGTTGACTTTGATTTGAAATTGTGAAATTATTTCTTCAACATGAAAAATAGAGGAAATACCTGAAATTTTATAAATATCAAACTGAATAGTGTGATTAAATTTAAAATGTCTTTTTTTTTCAGCTTCCAGCAAGTAATTTATTGGAACCACAGTGACTCATTTCACTTGTAGGTTAAAAAATGTAGACCATCTTAAATAGTAACAGAAAAAAATTTAAATGGATTATGACAACATTAGTAGTAAAACATCCAGAACATTCTCGGGACCCAATCAGAATACGTTTGTGAAGAATTTCTTGCTAGACCTTTGAAATTTATCTTTATGAAGTAATGTGCAAATTAAGGTAAGCCAAAAAGTGAGGTGGGATAGTCCATATTTGAAAACTGATGGATTCTTTTCTCATATAAATAAAAATACTATATATGAAACCATCTGAAGACCGAGGTTACCAAAGCAGAACTACAGCTAGAAAATTAGGAAAAAGTGAATTTTGAGTTATAAAAATTTCATTTCTACCCTATTTTTCTATAAGACTCAAAGTTCATTAACATTTATCAAATCATGTTTAAAAATTAAACATGACATCGCTGTATCAGTAATGTAAAATGGATTTAAAATTTACATGTTCTATGTATTTTGGGATACTAGGAACATAAAAATTAGGATATTTTTATTCAGAATTAAACTAAAGTATCTCCTCAGTATCAAAAATGACACAGTTACATTTGACCAGAGTAAAATCCCAGAAATCAGTGTGCTTAAAAAAATAAAGATTAGGGGCTGGGAATTTAGCTCAGCGGCATAAGTGCCTGCCTTGCAAGTGTGTGGTCGTGAGTTCGATCCCTGGTACCGATAAAAAAGAAAAAGAAAAAATTAAAACGATAAAAAAAAGATTACATCTTCATAATAATTTATCTTGTAAAATAACTTTTCCTACATAACTATGAGAAAAAGGTAGGAAGAAAAAACATGGTAAGGAATCTTTATTCTTATGAAAACAACATTAAAGTCTCATTCAAAGCATGGCCGTGACTAGTAATACATGGATGGCTCAGAAAACCAAGACAGGTCATATTTAGTGGATTATTGTGTTGGCTTTAATTTTTTTTTTTAACTGCCATAGGTGAGAATTTTTAATGCACATTTTCCAGGTTTTTTTTTAGTTCTTTTCATCATGTATCATCAGAATTAGGAAACTCTTGCCTATTAACCAATTCTTATAACTTGTTGATTATCAGCAAGTGGACTTGAACACAATTTTTAAATGATTCCTATTTAAAATACTGAAAATACTACATTAGCCTATTAAACTTACATCCCTGACTTTGTAATTTGTGGCAATACACATACACAAGTTGATTTAAACTGATTATATTTTGCTTTTTTTTCTCCTGATACTTAATTTGGTAAGTTTTCCGTGTATAGCTAGTAAAATAGATACGTTCTCTATGTTACATCAATTATGAGATTAAACTATAATTGGCCCTTTGGAAACCAAAGCTGTTTAGTTGTAAAAGGAGGTTCTTTAATCTGTTTGATGGCAAACATCTGTTGTTCTTCAAGCTGGTATCATAATTTATATATTAAAACTCCATTTTCAGGAGTTTTTCACTGTAAAACTTCTTTAGATTTAATCAATTTAATTAACTGAAACTTTAAATTATTTTATATATATATAATGTGTATATATATAAAATATATATATATAAAGCCAACCACTTAACTTGTCTTTTGCTTTTTTTGCCACTGAAACTGGGACATAGAAGGTGCTCGATGAATACTTGTTGATTGAATGGTACAATTTATTATTTCTATTTGAAAATAAAATGTACAAATTAAAACATTGGGCTTTGAAATAATTTACTACCTTGCTGTAATTTCATTTTCATAATAATCTAAGCATTTCTAGTTAATTTTCAAATTTCCTCTCTACCTTAAAATTGATCCTTTCTCTGAATCCTCTTTCACAAAGCATAGGTCTTGCATTCTTACTATTGTCCATAAAATAAGTATCTGAGCATACTTTGAAGGATTCATTTAGATTTGCATTAATAATAGCATCCATTTTGCAAAAAGAGCCCTTAAAAACCTAAATGAGTATGGAACAAAGACAGTGTCTGTAATAAATATTCTGTCAACCAAGGTTTTTCTATGTAGTTTATAAAAAGCAGAGATCCACTAATGGAGATAGTTCATGGGTACATACAGCTTACTGGTAGGATCTTGGCCCTGGGTTTGATCCCTACCACTGTATGTTTTTGGAGAATAAGATAAGCCATACATTGAAATGTTTTTACTTTCTGGAGCGTAGATCCTAAATGGTATGTCACAAGGCTCTCTTTGCCATTGGCATTACCAGTGAATCAGATTATATCACAAGTAGTTAGCAGACCTAGAAGATAACGCACATAAATACACTGAAAGCCAACATTAGTATCTAAATCTTACCCTATAGTGTGGTGTTGAATCAAGTTAAAGTACATTGAAGCAGGCTGTTACTTATTTTTACAGTTTGTATGATTAAAGAAGACAGTAGAATATGACATGCCTTAAGAGTAGTTCATAGAAAAAAGTGGTTCATAAGCAGATCATGAATTCCATTGCCAATAATACAAATGTAATATTAAGCTATGTTAAGAAAAGTGCAGTGCTTTAAACAAAACAGAAATTTCACTGTCTTTGAAATAGTCACCACACATCCAAAATGGCAGGGCCAATTAGGATGCTGTATTTAAAGAGAAGTAGCTGGGCAGGCCTTTGGCCTATAAGAAATACTGTTGTTACATATGTTATTATATACTGTCTGAAGGACAGCATCATGAGGTTGCTTTTAGTATCCATTTTTCAATAAATTTAAAATTTTACCAAAAAAAGTAGGAATGCTAAACATTATAGAATAAACTTTGAAAGTCTTAGTATTCATCTTCAAGTATCAAATACACAAGCTCTCAGTGGATGGCAGGGTTCACTTGTCTTACAGAAGAGTAGAAGGATCAATAGATGTTAGTGTAATAGTACAAAGTAATGTACTTTTGTGTGTGTGTGTGTGTTGTGCTGAGAGTTGAATCCTAGGCCTTATATATGCTAGACAAAAACTGTATCACTGAGTTACAAACCTGCCTGGTAATTAAGATTTTGAAATTAGCTTTTAAAGCATTGGACTCAGCCTCATAAAACATAACTAAGAAGACTGGCTGGACAGTTTTCTGTGCATAAGGTAAGGAATTGGACTGAATAGCTTTGATGATTTTAATTGAACAAGTATAGGGGGTGGGAGAATCAGTTCAGCAAACCTAATTGCCCAAAGTTGTATACCATTTTATGTGCCACTAAGGAAAAAAGTACAGTTAAAATGTGACAAACCACTGATTACAAGATGTGTCAGTGTTAGATGAGTAAAGTGCATATTTTAGAATTAATGAAATGTTAACCTAAGAAGAGAGACAAAGGACAACTAAGGGGAGACGTGGCAATTGTTTTTAAATACTGGAAATACTTAGGAAGAAGATGTGTTAAAGAAGGAAGTCGAATGAGACAAGTTATGGTTTTGTTAACTGTCCCAGGGTACTGGCTGCTTCATGAAGAAAGGATTATGTCTGTAAAATACAGCCCAAGGGGCTGAGGATTTAGCTCAGGCATAAGCACATGCTTAGCAAGCTCAAGGTCATAAGTTTGATCCCTGGTACCACAAAAAAAAAAAAAAAATTGGATGGTAGAATTGTCATTGACAGGAGTAACTTTTTAAATGAAAAGTTGGGATTTGATAACTTCTAGGCTTTGATACATACCTTTTTCTTGATCTGAAGCTGGGGACGTCAGGGATAAAAAGTATGTACTTAAAAGCATATGCATTTGAAAAATTTAAATCAAAGTTTAAAAAGGCAACTTTATTCAGCTTACCTAGTTTTCCCCCCTCCCTGATATTAGGAAAAGGAAACATTAATAAAACACAACAAATAAAAGTATGTTTTGTATATTCACCATAAATGCATGTATTTTAGCTCTGCATTCAAATTGTTTTTAAATCAAGACTGTTAGCTTGAAATAAACATGGTGTTGCATTAGTGTGCATTCTTTGCTACAGTAGCAATCACAAATTGAGTACTATTTCCTATTTTTGAAAATCAGTCATTTGGTGTTTAAAAGGCTCAGTTTGTGACATGACTAGGGGAATGGTGATCTTTTGAGCTTTTAGTGATAAATGGCCAGGTGTAGCACATATGCTATAGGTTCACTACAGCTGCCATAGGGAACTCACTAAAATCAAAGTTGTCTTCTATATAGGTAATTCTGAAACTAATATACCTGAGAATCACCTGGGAAATACTTAGGAAATATTTAGGTCCATTTTAGGACCTAACTTCAGATACTATGATTTTCGGTGTCTAGGAATAAAGGAAAGGGACACCAAAACTGGTTTCCAAAGTTACTGAACTACCATTCACACTGCCTACTGTACAAGAACTGACTAGAATAAACTCAAGTTATGGTGAAATGCTATAAGTTAACCTCGTATACTTCCTGTCCATCAGAGGCATTCGTTTTTGACAAGATGCAGTTTTCTAATGCAGAGGTCGTATTATTCATTACATAGTATGAAAACAGGGAAGCTAAATGCATTCTTAAGTATAAAACAACAAAGCTACTTTACCTTGGTTGTCTGGGAATGTTTTTGATGGATCTTAGATTTTGTATCCAAGATCACCACTGGATCACCATGCTAGTCTGTATGCATAAAAACTATTATTAGCAATTATATAATCAGTATGTTCATTAGTTGGAAGTTTAAAAATCCAACTATCCAATTTTGTTGGTACTATGACAGGGTTTTATAGTATGTTTTTCTTATCAAGTCAATATTAGTAAGTCTAGAAGCAGTCTCTGTTTATGGCTACTAACTGGAGAAAACAATAGGTCAACCTATTCTCTAGTGCATACGTAAGATAATTTGATAACACAGGAGTTCTTCAGACATTTTTAGAAGAAATGCCTC